AAATTCCAAAACATCCCCGATGTTTTCAGTGTGCTAGATATGGAAACCAGCACTATATCCAGCAGAGTCGAAGGACTAGAGGACAGCCTTCATGAGAAGATCGAGGTTATGTCCAACAGGGTTGACATATTGGCGAGTAGTCTTCATGACAAGATGGACAATATCTCTGGCAGAGTTGACAAATTGGCGGAGATGGTGGAGAAAGTCGTCAAGTGCGAGCGGCTTGCGATGGAAAAGTTTGGGCATTTAACTAAGCGCATGGAGCATCCTGTGTCATTCCAATCACAGAGTAAGGCCGCCGTTGATTTGCGACGTCGAAGCCCGCTAGATCAACTATAGCAGATCATGGGTTGATGGAGCAGGGTATTTTCCTTTTTATTATTGGCCTTTACCATCTCCTTGTATGATATTGTCTGGAGTACTAGACAATTACTATAACCCCCACCAGTGTAGGCTTTGCAAAAGGCGTTTTAGCAATCTATACATGTTGAAAAAGTAGGCAATACCAGCTAGATGCACAATTTGCGAGAGCTACTATAAATTACTCATAAGCCGAGGAAGGGAAAGATTGGAGAATTTTTCGGTTAAATTATTTTTCAATTCTTTTTCCCTTCCTGATCTCCAACAGAAAGTTGGTGGCAAAAAGTAAATTTATTCACCATTTCATACACTAATCAATATTCTAGCTATTTAGTTTCTAGTGTGCCTTCATATTCCACAAGCACAAATCATCTTCCTTGTACCCACCTCGTTTATTATTTCTCTCCTTTCTATTAAGGAAAAAGAACAGAAAAAAAGAGAAGAATCTGTCATACCATTTAGCTTGACTGCTAATTATGACATATGAGTCCATCTCTGCCTTCCATTTTTTGAGAAACTTTTAGCGGATCGGACCGGTCAACCAATTAAAAAAAAAGTCCCATGTAACTCTAAATCTTGATCAGCGCTGTGGAGCATGGACATGCATTAAGTTCACAAGTGCGATCTCCCGCGCTTTCCCCGTGTTTTGATCGACATTTCATAGTACATTTTCCTATTTTTCTTCTTATTCCTATGACAAAACAGTTCCCTACGCTTGCTAAGGAATGGGCGGCTTGTGGCACGGAATCTTTTATGGGTCCTCATTTTATGTTCCATGGTTCTAGGTCAAGTCCACGAAATAGTTCTCCACTAAGTTGTAACTTCTCCTAGCTATCCATAGCCAAAAAATATCTTATTAATGCTTCGATCTTGGGTTGATCAAATTCGAATGTCTGGTTAAGATATGGAATGAATAAATGGATGACCTCATTCAGGAACAATCGCGAATTCTTGCGTATCTATTATCATAAGCTTAGTATACTATGTTGATCGTGAAGGTACGCGGCTGATGTAGCTAGTTTATTAGATGTGCCGAATCTCTTTATTA